ATTAGAGGGATCAGTTTCTACTTGGAATACGGTTGATTATTGCTCCATAACCCTGTTTCAAATGATTGAAGACATTCCTCGATGGATTCGCATCGTTAAAAAATTCGATTCGTTAAAAAAAAAAAAGGATCTCGACTCAAGTGATCTTTAACTCGAAACCTTGTGTTGTTATCGTGAATTTTATTAGCATCGAACGAGCTAGTAGGATCGCACGCGATCTCGAGGTCATTTTGTTCCTTGATAACGTGACGATGAAATCGAATGAGAAGAAGAAGAAGAAGAAGAAGGAGAAGAGAGAGAATCGACGATGCTTCTGGGCCGAGCATCCAAGTTGAAAGAACGAAAAAGGAGGAGGGGGGGAATTAACTGGCAGCAGTAGAATTATTTCAATTCACTGTCATTTAATTTAACGTTCGTTATTAATGCACCCCTGACATTCATTCCGCGCATACAAATCGTGTCGTTAAAAAGGAAGGAAGAGGAAAAAGAGAGGAGGATACTTTGCGATATATCTTTGAATACGCTCCTTTTAACGGTATGATAAATCCCTCCACGAAAGAAAGTTATAGATCTTTTGTATCGTCGTTTTTACCGGGATTGCGCAACATTCATACTTATTATAGCCGGTTCAGCGATCCGGGTGGCGGGCGAGGCGCGAAAATTTAGTGGCTTCTTCGAGTATGATTCAAATACTGCCGTTTCGTTGCCCGTTCGACCGTTTTACTTTAACGAACTCTCCGATTTCTAACGATCGCGAGCGTTAATATAAACGACGGGTTGGCGATATAAATCGAGCCGTTTCGAGAATTCGAGAAAATTTCGGGGAAAATGGAATTTAGATTTTTACGTCTAGGTTTCGATAGGATAAGATAATAGTCTCGAAAATAATTTTAGTAGATCTCTGTTTTCTCTTCCTTCGATCATTTTGCTCGCAAACGGTGGAAAATTAAAAATTCCACGATCGTTGAATAATAGTTGAATAATAGTCTCGAGGGAAACGAAATAATAAATAATAATAAAAGAATTTCAATTTTTATAAAACTTATAAAGAGCGGCGTCGAATTAATTAAATAGAATCCCGAGCGACGTTGTTTAATTAACGATAATCCCAGAGAACGAGATATATATACGTATATATAGTAGAAATAAATCGAACTAAATAGAACGTCCGTCTATTCGTTTTATCGTGTCGTCCGTGTTGAGAGTCAACCTCCCCCTCCCCTAAAGCGTTGTCCACATTTTACGATACGCCTGTGTATTTATGCGAATGCGAGGATGGAAGGGGAGAACGTGGCATTGCTAATGCATATGAAAAAGATCGATCGAACAACGCCACCGGCCTGTTTCGGCATCGTATCGAAAAACAATTTGTACAACAACGGAGTTACTCCAACGGAGTACTTTAAAATATTACACCCGGTTTACGGGTGTTTCAACACGTGGGTGTGAGTATTTCTCTCGTAACATCGAAACTTTCGCGCGCCTCGACCACGCTTTTTTTTAAACGTTTTGAAAAAGATCCAACTTTATTAATTAAACGGATGTGCGGATTCGAAGGAGAGTCGATTTTATTTCAATTCGTTTCGATACGAATTAAATTATCATTGCTTTATCTTAGGCTCCAAACTTTGTACTCGTAGTTTTATTTTTGAATGATAA